AGGGAGGGGGGGAGGTGGAGAAAGGCAAGTTACAGTTAGAATATATTTAAATGCATCCTACACATAAAAGACATTTCAATTACGGAATCCAGAATTTAAACATTAATTTTCATGTAAAGAGTTATTTTATTTTTACTAGTCTTTGTTTGCAAATGCCTCCTTGAACCAGAGGATGATTTCCTACTTGCTTTATATCTGCAGAACCTAAAACTGTGCTCAATGTACACTGAACACTCAGTAAGTATCTTAAAAATAAATCATCATTCATAGCTGAATGCTTACTGTGTGCCAGGTACAATTTAGATGGGTCAGCATAGTGAGCAAAACCAACACAATGAAAAATTTACTACAAAGATTTTTATGTACATGAATGAAAGCTACCTTCCTAAGGGGTAATTCTGAATTGAGGCCAAATGAAGTTGATGGTCTTCACATGCTGACCTACTTTTAAATAAAGTAATTAAATGGGTGTAATGAACACTTTATGTGTGCATGTATGTGAACGTGGGACCATCAAGTGCATGCGTGAAGGCTAGGAATCCCTAACAGGAGGAATAGGAGCAGCAGCTGAACTCACTGCCAGGGAGCCTATGTCAGAATGGACTCCTCAACCAAGTAGCGTGCCCACTGTAGGCAATGAGATTTCTTTGGGTGGAAAAGAAAGTAGATGAACTAGATCATTTACCTGTCCATCTCATATAATGCAGTTGGCTTTATGAAATAAAAACATTTGGTTTCCTTCAAATAAAGCACTCACTTAAAGAATTTATAATAGTGAAGAGCAGAAAGACGAGGAATAAAAAGAGTAAAGCATACATTTCTTGGTCTAACAAAGAAGCAAAGAATGCTTTCTTCGTGTTTACAGCCTAATATCCACGTGCTTCTTACCACAGAAACCAAAACAGAATCTCCATTTAGGTCTCAGTGGTTTAAAAGTAAACTAATACCACAGCTGTAGCAAAGAAATGCTATGCGAGTGAAACACAAAAGACAGGGTAAGAGAAGTCAGTAAGGATTACAGAGCATCTCCATGCCATGACTTGGTAAGGGAAACCTGGCAATTCCTTCACAGATCAGGAAACACTACAATGCATCACATGTACAGAATGAACAGTTCAAGACTCTTGGGAAGATTAGATAAAGCACATTTCTGAGCAGATTTTCAATCTGAGGCCAAGTTCCCTTATTCTCTTAAATCTTGCCTAAACGTGCAAATCAAAAGGAAGACGATATCCCATCCTATTAATACTGTGCACCCCAGCAGTCCCGCTCTGGCCTTGCTTATACACAACTGTTTCCAGTACAGTCAGCCCAGAGAGTCAGGTCACCCATTAGCTCCTGTATGCCAGGTCTCTCCTCACAGATTCTGGTTAGCACCCTAGTGTACAATGTGTTATTCCCCATTAAAGTGAATGTTATCTCTGGGGTAGACAGGATAGAGTTTCCATTCAGTAGATACAAGCTGAATTAAATCACATTTAAGTCTCTCCCAGTGTTCGTTTCTTCATTTAGAAAATAATGATTATGAGAAGCCCTGGGGTCAATTCCCAGCACTGCCAAAAAAAAAAAAAAAAAAATAAGGAAGGAAAAAAGGACAGAATGGAAGGAAGAGTACAGGGGAGGGGTTATCACTTGGTGTGGCTCAAATGGCATGAGGTTCTGAGTTCAAACCCCAGCACTGCCCCTACCAAATAAAGAAGATAATACCTGTAGGTCACCAAGTATTGTGCAGAAACACAGGAGACACTAAACAAGTCATCATCCTTTCTTTTTTTTCTTCTGGGTGAAGTACAAACCCAAATTTGATGAGATGCCTCAAAAATTCTCTCACCTTGGATCTGCAGTCTTGGTGTAGACACAGAACCAAACTTCCCTGCAGACCCCAATTTGGGATGAAGTAGGGTAACCCATCTGAACAACATAATAAAAACTAGTGACCCAATGATAAAGAACTGCTACACAGCCATCCATTTCCGCAGAACTAGAAGGAACTAAAATCATCTGAGTGCTACTGAACTTCATCCCTTGAGGCAATAATGAATAAAGCAAATTAACAGCCAGCTGAAATTAGGGCTTAGCTACAAGAAGCAAGCTCCCAGCACATTCAGAGTGAGATTTGAGATTTGAGTGTTATCTCTGAGTCTTTGGAAAGAAGACTCCCCCCGCCCCACCAAAAAAAAAAAAAAAAAAAAAAAGAGCAACACCCACAACAAAAACGGAGGTAACATTCAGGCCTTTTGTAGGTACAGCAAAGAAACTGGAAGAAAAAGACACATTCTAATTAAAGAATGAACTCCTCAACCCTCTCTAGAGTGTTTGCTCAAAAGCCTGCAGTGCTCTTAGCAACTGTACCAGCAAGAGAACACACTATGGACTTCCTGCGAGCCCATGTCGTCTACACAGCAGCACTTGGCTGTATATTTACTTAGAGAGCAACTTAATCCTGACTTCAGTGAGTTATTTCATGAGCTCTTTAAAGGTTACTACTTTTGTTCTTTATGAGGCCAATCCAAGTTAGCAAAAAAAAAAGAGTTAAACACAAGAAAAACCATCTCTTCTATACTCCTCAAGAAAGGCAGCCTTGGTCATTCTGAAGGTAGTGTCCTATTCTCTATAAACTTCCTTTTATAAAAATCAGCCCAGTAGTTTTCCAAGGGGATTAGTATTCCTACACTCATCTACTTGAAGATGAGGAGTACCAAAATAGTACAAACAGAACAAAAGAGCAAGCTTTCTGCTTTGTGTATTTCATGGAGCTATCCTGTTCTCAACTGCTACATAACAAATTATCCCAAAATACAGAATCTCATAAGTATCCATTTTATTTTCAATCTTTACTCCCTCTCTTTTTCAGACAGGATGATTTGCATTAGCATATCTTCGAGTGTACTGACTCCTTCCTCTGACCGCTCCACGATATAGTCAACACACTCAAAACTCTTTTAATTCCAATACTCTCTTATTAGTTCTAGAACTTCCAATTACTCTTTCTTAGCTGTTACTAAGTTAGCCTATCTTTTCTGAGAAAGGGTCTCACTGGGCAGCCCAGGATGGTCTTGAATTCAAAATGCTACTGTCTCAGCTCCCCAAGTACTGAAATTACAAGCATGAACCACCCTGCCCAACTTGAGATATCTTCTCTTCATTCAGATGATGTGTATTTGCCTCTCCATCCTTCAGCACAGTTTACAATTAATTTTTTAAAATCCTTGTCAACACCTATGTGATATCACAATCTGCTTCTCTCAATTATGTGTGCTCTTGAAAATGAAATACATTTTCCTGTATGTCAAGTAATTTCAGTTTATATCCTAGATACTGTGAGTGCTATGCTGTGGAAACTCTGGATCCTATTATGTTCCTCTAAAAAGTGTTAATAGTTTTGTTGTAGTGGACAATTACCTTAGTTGGACTTAAACTGTAAACTCTATAGAATGGCAGCTCGAGTCTTGGTATAATTATTTTGTTCTCAGCTTAGTTGCTTGGAGCCTGCCCCACATATGTGTGATTCGGGCATCACAGATTCCTTTCCCAATTTTTTCCCTCACTTCCCAATGCTTATGGTTACCGAAAACGCTTCCTTGATTCTTCAAGCTAGCAAAGAATGCAGATTTAACTGCCCTGCATGAATACACTCTGTGAATTCCTTCTTCTAAGAGTCAGTTTCATTCCAGCATCTGCCTGTGTGTCAGATCTCAGTGTCTTCACATAACTGTCTTTTGTCCAGTGTTTATAAATGACTTACTGAGATACTAACAGGACAATCTCCACAGCATTTTTCCAGTTTCTCACTTTTTCACAATGAATGTTTGTCAGGAATTTAGAAAAGGTTCTGCCTGACCTACATGGTGTCAGCTGGGCAAGTAAGAAACCAAGACTGGATCTACTTCCAAGAGGACTTCGTGCACAAGCCTAGTGCTGTGATGTTCCTCCACTAGTCTCTCTTTGCACCTCAGCTTCCAGCATTTCTTCATGTGGATCACAGTAAGGTGATCTTGGGAATCAGTACTTTCTTACATGGTGACTAGCTTCTAAGAAGCTACAAACAGAATCGGCCAGACCAATTAAAGACTATGCCGGAAATAATACAGGATCTCTCCTGCCATATTTCACTGTTCAAAGCAGTCACAGGGGCTGAACAGACTCAAAGGCATGGAGAAATAGATGCCAACCCTCCTTGGGGAGTGGGGTCTGGGGGCAAACTCAGAATGTAGAAATATACGTAAAATGACATGTACTTTTGCAGACTTCTTAGAAAATATGATCTGCCTCAAATGTAGCATTTAAATAAGCAAAACAAAGCCTATCCAAAGTAATACTCCAAAAAGATCCAAGAATACTAGTTAGTATGAAGCATGTGACCCAATCTTCCAGCAACTCTTTTGTCACACTCACATTAGCAATAGAATTATCTCTACACTGTTCAAAACAAAAGAGGTTTCCAAAAGCAGTCTACTGAGTTTCCAAAGATTTAAATACATGCTCATTTCAAAACACCTAGAAGGAAAAAGTTATGATGTTCTCACCCATTAATGTAAGCAATAGCTATAAGGGGATTTTTTTGTTTTGTGTTGTTTTGTTTTTACAATAATGGTCAATAATAACTAGTGTTTCTTAAATGTCTACTGTATACTAGAAATTTTTCTAGGTTTGTTAAGTATGTTTTTTACTTACTGGTCTCTACATATTAGTGTTTACATGTACAGGGTTTAGACAAACACAGTTTACCAAAAAGGAGATGGATCAAACACACAAGACAAAGACAATGAAAAACTGCATACACACAAAGCCTAATACAAATAAATCCTATTATGCTTACCTGTGGGAAAAATGTATATTCTTTTTATGTTAGAAATACATATACACACATAGATAGCTCTTCTCAATCTACTTTCTAAGTGCCTCAAATTTTCACTCCAAAAAAGTGAACGTGTTCTAAATTCTAAAGGCCAATTCTAAATGAAAACATACATGTATGACATACCACAAAATAATTTTACCTTGTCTTGGTTATCTTTATTCTTGTAACACATATTTCCAATCAGACGAATGAGATGAGACTTAAACCCCTCAGCCATATTTGAGATGTCACCTTCCGGTTTTACACAACCAGAGGTACTGAAGATGTTTGTAGTATCTTTTCCAGCTGCGTGGATCAGTCGTAAGAGTTCTAGAGTAAAAACAGTAGACTTCATTGTCCGTGGGAAATGTCCCGTTTTCCATAGTATTTATTTTAATGGACTAAAATAAATAAAGGTGGAGTACTGAAGACTTTCTGTAAAGAATGACTAGGGCTTGGGGTGAGACTCAGTGGCAGAAGGCCTACTTGGCATGGGTGGGGCCCAGGGTTCCATCCTTAGGATCAGGGAAAATAACAGTAATAATGATAAGGCAGCTCTTCTGCTTCTGCATTGCCTTTTTTAAACATACATTCTGGTTTGGGGGAGACAAGCTACAATGACTACCCTTGCCTTGGATTTTCTATTTATCCACAATGAAAAGTTGGATAAAAACTTTCCAGCATCTTTCAGTATGGCTTTCAATTCCAATCTCTTTAAGAACTCATCTGATAACTGATTAGCTAAGTCTATATCTATAATGATCCAGACCACAGAAACCAAGACAGCTTATCTTTCTCAATGTCCAAATAATTAGGCTCATTAGGCACAGCTGTGCTCTCCAGTGCTCGTCTAGCTACAATCAGAAGAAATAACATGGGCTGGAAGACTGGCTCAAGTGGTAGAATGTCTGCCTAGTAAGTGTGAGGCTCTGAGTTCAAACCCCAGTGCCGAAAAAAAAAAAAGAAGAAGAAGAAATAACATCATTACACTCTTTGAATAACTTTAGGTGACCTGTGAAAACATACAATATTCCAGGAGCTGGCTGTATGTTAGTGTTTCTACTTCATTTAACCCTCTCAACAAACCTATTAAAGGCAGACATTCCTTTCTCAGTTTTATAATGAAGAAATGAGGCTCAGAGAGGTTAGTAAATTGCAGGTAGGAGGGCAACCCACATGTGTCCTGGCTGCACAACAATTCCAAGGTTGGTGGGGTTTCATTCTGATTATCACTAAAAGCAATGCATTCAAAACAGAACTCTGGGATGGAATTCTACACACTTCCAGAACTCACTGCTAGCTCATCTACACTTGTAGATACGAAGTCACCTTTCTTAGTATATTGGCCTCCAGAGTATTTTAAAGGAAAAAATAGTGATTAGTGAAAAATCAACACCTAGACTGTGCTAATTATACAGAATAGGTTCTCTCTGAATCACTTGGCAAATAGCTTTTTAGTAAAGATAGTGAAACTTCAAATAATGACTTCTTGTTTAAAACCATATTGTTATAAAAATATCTATGTAAAGCACTATTCTACATGCTCAATGAATACAATCAGAGTCGGGCATCAGCACTTCACATCTGTAATACTAACTTGGGAGGCTGAAAGTGGGAGGATCACGGTTCAAGGCCAGCTTGGGCAAAACGTTCACAAGATCCTATCTCAACCAGTAGATGGATATGGTTTCATGCCTGTCATCCAATTGTGTGCCTCTCATCCCAAGCTAATCGGGAGGCTGAGATTGGGAGAATTATGGTTCCAGGCTAGTCTGAGCAAAAAAGTTCACAAGATCACCTCAGTGGAAAAAAAAGTTGGGCACGGTGGCATACACCTGTCACCCCAGCTACTGGAGGAAGTGTAAAAGAGGAAGATGGCAGTCCAGGCCAGCCTGTACCAAAAGCAAGACCTTATCTCAAAAATAATCAGAGGAAAAAGAGGGCTGGAGGTGTGGCTCAAGCGGTAGAGTCCCTGCTTGGCAACTGCAAAGACCTAAGTTCAAACCCCACTATACCCACTGCCCCTTCCCTAAAAAAAGTTATTAGGAAAAAAATTACTTCCAAATTTTGTGAAACTATACTACCAAAACAAAATCACTCTCAACACTGTCATCACAACTACTCCTGTGAAACACCTATCTCAGGCACCTGCAGGAAGGCCTTGCTGTGTCAACTGCACTGAGCAGATGTCCCAATGCTTAACGGAAGCGAGGGGGCAGAACCAGGTTCTCAAGGTTAATCACCCTGAGCTGTTACCATGGCACCATAATTCCACCCAAGAAAAAAGTATTCAACAGCCCTCAAAAGTAGTTGGGCATGATGGCATACACCTGTAATTCCAGCATTTGAAAGTGTGAGGCAAGAAGATAAATGTGAGTTCAGGGCAGATTATACTACATAGTGAGACCTTGTCTCAAAAAACAAAATGAGAAAAATCTCCAAAGAGCAGCAAAACACTGAAAATTAAGGATCTGTATTTAGATTTATGTTACAGTACAGACAAAGATTTCTTAACTAAAAATACTCTTTATGATCTTTCACTCACCAATCACTCGTTCCAGCAAGCCAGGAAAAACTTGCAGGTAGCCAAGCAGCTCAGTGTTGGACGTCATTTCACAAAGGACATCCAGAAGCCGAATTGTGGCTAGTGCCTCCTAAAAAGACAAGGAAACCTAATTTCTAAGTATATTAAAATCTAAATGATTTCACTGTTCTACATAACTGTAAGAGAATGAGGTATTAAATAAACATTAAAGTCAGTGCTTATAACACATTTGAAGAGAAGAAACTATGCAGAGCAAAACAGAAATATTAAATATGCACTTGAATAACCATCTTCACTAACAGGAGACATCAGCCATGAACAAGGCAAGATTATATGTCTTCTTGGAGCAAGGATCCAGAAACAACTTATTCAAGCAAAAATACCAACAGTGAGATAAATGTTCAAAATTACAAGCCACACATACGTGACATTTATCAAATACTTTCTTTTTTAAAGCATCCCCAGTATTCGAGTTCTATGTTAAAGATGCAAATATCCCATGAAGTACATTTGTTTCTTATGCATAGGAATCCTGTGAAGTGCTGTGGCTAAAAAACTTTGGCTTCAAGAACCTGTGACTTCTGGGTAAATATAAACCTCCATGCAGTAACTCAGTGGGTTAGAAAAGATAGTATTATTTGAAAATGTTAGTTCATATACCTACTAAATAATTCATATAAATTAGGTGGCAAGACCAAGAAACCACCACACGCCGACTGCATGGCATCATGTGGTCCATATGAAACTTAAAGGCACATGTTATTAGCCACGCATGGCGGCTCACACCTGTAATCCCAGCACTTGGAAGACTGACACAGGAGGATCTCAAATTCAAAGCCAGTCTGGGCTACATGGTGAGACCCTGTCTCAAAAAACCAAAATAAAAAAATGAATAAATAAATAAAATACAAGTTACATGACAAAACATAGTAAAGACTAAAAATTTAGGTCATAAAAATAGCACTCTTCATAACAAAATTACTTCGTTCTGTTAATACTAAATGTAATTCATTATTCTCTACTAAGATTTCAAGTTAGTATTTTAATATAGCATTCTGACATCTTAAAATAGCAAGAAATAACACATTTTTAATGCCTTGTATCTTTACTTTTATTTCATAGTTTTCCATTGCTAATTAAAGAGCCGGGTAGGGAGCTAGGTTAGAAGTCTGGAGCTGGAGGAATAGCTCAACAGCTACGGCATCTACCTAGCAAGCTTAAGGCCCTAAGTTCAAAACCTTACTGCAAAAAAGAGTCTGAAAGAAAGGAGCCTGAAGCAAATCCATTAACTGTGCAGGCCTCAGCGTCCTTCACAAGTTAAGAGGGTGAATGCCCAGACAGTCATCTCTAGATTCCAGTTCTCCCCAAAATCGGCTGGCTGCCTGGGTATGGGGAAGAGCGTGCTCAAGATGAGTGGAGGAGAGGAGACGAGGGGAGGGGGCAGCTGAGCATTTACACTGTCTTTCTTAATCAAAATGTACCTTTTATAGCCTAACAGTGGATTAAAGAAAGTTTCTTTTTTTAAAAAATATTCCTACTAATAAATGAAGAATGACAGTCAAAATCCTACCACTTTAGCCAGGTGCAGTAGCTCATAAATGTAATCTTAGCCACTCAGAGGCAGAGTTAGGGAGGATTAGCGTTCAAGGCTAGCCAGGCAAAAAGTTAGTGAGACCACTCCCCCCTCAACAAATAAGCCAAACATGGTGGTATGCACCTGTCATTCCAGCTACACAGGAGGCCTTGGTAGGAGGATCATAGTTGAAAGCCAGCCTTGGGCAAAAACCCAAGACCCTATCTGAAAAATAACTTAAAAAAAAAAAACAGCCTTTCATTAAGATGGTGCTGAAAACAAGAAAGGAAGTCCCACCCCTCTAAAAAGCCAAAGCCAAGGCAAAGGTTTCAGACGCCAAGAAGGCTGTGCTGAAAGGTATCCACAGCCACAAAAAGAAGGTATACATGTCACCCACCTCCCAGCACCCCGAGACGCTGTGGCTCTGGAAGCAGCCAAACACCCTTGGAAGGGAGCCCCTCGGAGAAGCAAGCTTGACCGCTACACTGCCATCACATTCCCCTGACCACTAAGTTAGCCATGAAGATGAGAGAAGACTACAAACTTGTGTGTGCTGTAGATATCAAGGCCAACAAGCACCAGATCAAACCGGCTGTGACAAAGTTCTGTGACACTGGTCAGGCCTGATGGAGGGAAAAGGGTGTATGTTTGACTGGCTCCTGATTATGCTGCTTTGGATGTGGCCAACAAAACTGCAATCATTTAAACTGGGTCTAGCTGGCTAAGTATGTATTTTTTTTTCACTAGAGAAAGAGAAAGTGAGACAAAGAGAAAGAGTTGTTAAAGGGTGCAAACACCAAAGACAAAGACAAGCATTATGTGCTTCCTGATAAAACACTCCTTCAAAACAAAAACAAAAAAACTAAACAAAATCTGAATAAGCCCCTAGAACTAACAAATCCTTCACGTCAAACAAAAGGGAAAGCAGTGGGCTAGAGGTGTAGCTCAAGCAATAGAGTGCCTGCCTAGCAGCTTCTTCAACCAGTAACTAGCGAAAGGGACAAACAGGAAAAGGGAGTCTTAATATTAAAGGGGAGGCTTTATTTGTAACCTGATTCAACAAAATATACCTGAGAAAAATTAAGGACAATGGAGAATACCTGCATACTGTTTAATATTATAATTTTATCATCAATTTTTTTAGATGTGTTGGTTTTATTGTACTTGTATCTGAAGACTCCTTATCTTTTAGAGTGACTGATGAAATATGGTAGAGCTTGTTTCAACCCGGAGCAAGTGGCAAAAAATCAGTGAGCCTACAGACAGAACAGGAACAATCACGAACTTAGGGCTTGAAGTGGGGGTTTGAGGGCACTTTTTTCTCTTAGTCTGTTTGACACATTCCATGATTTAAAAAAAAAAAAGGCAAGTAAATTGGGGGGAGGGAGAATTTTGAAAGAAATGATCCAGAGTTTCTTTCCAACTACAAAATTCTATAATATTTACCAAAATACACACATAGTAAAATTAATCTAATCCGAACTAACACATTGCCAATTTTAGTCATTAAAAGTCTTCCATTGATAAAAGTGTTTCTAATGAGCACTGGAAATAAATAATTGTCAGGGAGAATTATTCTCCTAAAATCCAAGAGTGATGAATAAAATGTCTTTCCAGATATTTAAAAGTATTTTAAAACTATACTAATTAAATCAGGAACAGGATTGGGGGTAAGGAGCAAAAGAAAAAAACAGGTTAGTCACTTGTCCATCTCAGCCATCCGTATTAACTCTACCCTTTGGTGTCTGAGCTGTTTTACATCTATGTAAGTTATAGAAAGCTGATACTGCAAATACTTATGCCTACAGAAATGCATATTAATTGTGGCTGGCCTGAGGCAATTAATTATTGCCTTGTGCAGGGACCAGTTTTGTATTTATTTGTATGTTCATTTCAGCATTCCTTTACTGAATATAAATGTGTAGCTCTTTGAATTTTTCTTTCTCCTGCTGGCATCTTAGTGCTTCTTCCTGTAAAAGTTGAAAATCTAGAAATGGATCCAAATATACATAAGAATTTGCTGTATGATAAAAATGGTATTAAAATTAGTGGAAAGTATAAGGCTGATCACTAAAAGAAATACTGGCTATGTATTTATCAGTGCACTCAGGCTTTCACTGAAATACAACCTATTTTAAAGGAAGAGAAAACAGTCATGGAGATAAGTAACTTTTTCCAAGCTTCACACACTAGTAAGAGAAGAAATCAAGATTCAAACAGTTTTACACCAAAGATTTCACAAAATCTTGGATAGTCAAAAGACATAAAAAATTCATTGGTATCCACACATGACTCTTTACTTGAAAATAAATTCTAGATTAATCAAAAGTGGGGAGTAGGTACTGAAAGAAATAGGACATACAGGTTACATATTTCCACAATTTAAGTGGAAGTTCACAAAATGCATGAAAAAAATATTCAGAGGCCATGAGGATAAAATTGGTAAGTCTAACTAGAATAAAAACAAGAACTTCTAAAAGACTAAAAATATCAACAAGCCAGGCACCTGTGGCTCATGCCTATAAGCATAGCTACTTGGGAGGCTGAGATGAGGAAGATCACAGTTCGACAGCAGCCCAGGCAAACTGTGATTTGTGTGTGTGTGTGTGTGTGTGTGTGTGTGTCTCATCAATAAATTCAAACAAAAAGTTAACTATGGAAAAAGTTTACATATGATAGATTAATTTTCTGAAAATATTTTTAATAAATTCATTTTTAAAGGTAACCTAATATACAAGACAAATGAACATACTGGTCACTGAAAAATATTAAAGAGAAATAGCAATTATCTCATATTTGTAAAGGGTAGGAACTGGTATAGTCTTGTGCTGTACTGTTATGCCAGTTACAAATATCTCTAAAAGTTTTAAACAGACAACTGAATACTGACCCAATAATTCAATTTCTAGTAATTTGTAATCCCAAAGTACAAAGATATGTGTACAAGGATGTTCACTGTAGCATTATTTGTAAAGGCTAAAAAAAAAGAAAACCAAAAAGAAAAAAAATCTGGAAGCAACTAAACATCTCTTTAGAAACAAATTTTAAAACTATAATGCATCTAAATAGCATGTAATAGATATGCATCAGTTAAAATGGAGAGATATACAAGCTACATTATAAAAAAGTGGAATAAGCAAGTTAAGGTCTGTCGTAATGGCACCATGCCTGTAATCCTAATACATGGGAGATGGAGGCAGAAGGATAGTAAGTTCAAGGTTAGTCTGGCCTACATTGTGAGACCCTATCTCAACGTTCCTTCCCTCGGAGGGGAAAAAAAAAGTTAAAGATGAGTGTGTCTAATATTGTGAAAAAGGAAACAAAAAACATATATATGTATATATATACAAAAAAAATTTTTGGAAGAACAACAACAAAAAAGGACATGCAAAGAGCTCTGTAGAAAACAAGTGGGGCTAGGAAAAACCAGAAACTTCTTAACTTTATGTTTCATCAACTTCAACTTTTAAAAACTTGAGCAGGTGGGTAATGGGATTTGAACTCTTCAGACTGAGCTCCTCCTACATACAGCCTCCTGAGCAGCTGGGATCACAGGGGCATACCGCCATGCCCGGCTTATTTTGTTAAGATGCAGGAGTCTTGCTAACTTTTGGCCTGGGCTGGCCTCTCACTAACCTCCATCCTAATCTCCGTCTCCTGGAACTGGGAGTAGCTGGAATTACAGACATGAGCTGTCTTGACCAGCCCCTTAAATAATTTTTTACAACAAAGAAAATATTATTTCAAAATACAAAAATCTATCAATATGTATAATGAAAGAACACTATTTTTACTTATTCCGTAAATATTACTAAATGCTACTATATAAGGATAGCAAAAGACTTAAGTTGGGATTGCAAAGATTTAAGAGAGAAAGAAAAACCCACAAACTGAAGACAACTCTCACAATATGTGTCAGAATACATAAAGCTAAAAAAATTTTTAAACTGCATGCCAATGGCTCACGCCTGCAATCCTACCTACTCAGCAGGATCAAGGTTCGAAGCCAGCCCAGACAAATAGTTTCCAAGACACTATCTCAAAAAAACCATCACAAAAAAAGGGCTGGCAGAGTGGCTCAAGGTATAGGCCCTGAGTTCAATCCCCAGCATCGCAAAAATTTTAAAAATTTAAGCTTTCAGAGGAAAAGGCAAAGCTGACAAGTAAACCTTAAAGAGTAATGGTGCCCAAACTAACAAAAATGTAACAAAGCCTTAAAAAAATTACATAAAATACATCAATAGATGGGCACAAGTACATTCCCATGAAAAAGTAAGACTCCTTTTATAAAGCAATTTAGGAACAAAACTTCAGAATTTTGAAGCCAAATAATTAGTCACGTTTTTTTAATGCTATAAACATGCCGGTTTTCATTCTCCATTTTTGGTCATAGCATTGTGAGAACTTAAACTATCTTGTGCTTTGGAAATAAGAAAAATCACTGATGGGTAAAGGCAGGGCTTGCTGGTCAGCTGGCTGGGAGGAGGAGGGGAGGAGATCCTCATGAGCAGCACTCGCTGACTTATTCCTCTGCAGAAAGAGCTCCACCAGAGGCAATCCTGAGCCAACAGCCAACCACAGATTTCTAGATCTGAAATAATGGCATAGGTCAGGTCTGGTACACCACTTAGGAGCATGATATGTTTAAATATTGTCATAGAGGTCTTCTTAAAACCTCCTGTCACTTTTTGCTTTCACTAATACCTTAAAGTACAATATATATTACGTATATACTAATATGCACAAGTCATGAGGATACAGATTAGTAAATTTCTAAAACTGACCTCTTTCAGCCTTTCTAAAGTAAATTGCCTACAGTTTTCTACCCATTGGCAGATCATAATTCCTTCCACTTTAGAGAGCCAACAATTTGAGGGAAAAATTAAAATTTTCCTAACATAAAAAAAACTGTACCGCATATCTTGATTCCAATACTGAAATCACTTTAAGCACAAGTCCCACGAACAGTTTAAAGCTATAATTTAAAAAGTCCTGACTTTTACTGCCTTCCCCATCTCTTAGAAAATTAATTTTTAGAATGTTTTTTGAAGCACAGCTCACTGCTCCTCCTACTGGAAACAAAGGCAACTTTATCTCCAGAACAGCAAGACAAGTCTTAAGTAAAGACCTTCTTCTTCTCTATCACAGAAAAAAAGAACTTGACTATTAGCATGATTACTGAGAAAGCCAGGGCTTTATCACCTAGAATCCAAACAGAGGCACAAAGAAGGAAACACACTTTCGTAACTGAGCAGTCACACCGTGACTGCACGGCCAACCAGAGCTCAGGAACCTACACGATCACATGTCACTCTCCAGGACAGGCCATGGCTCCTCGTCTACCTTCATGGCAAGCAGCATTAATTACCCCCTACCGATCATTCTCATCAGCACATCAATGACCTAGTATCTTTAAACAGCTTTAAAATCAGCTGCACTGAGGTTTAAATTATAAGCAGTAAAACACATCTATGAGTGCATGATACAGATGTGTCAAGATACACAGACATGTATATAAATTCCATGTCCCTCTGCAATCAATCTCACCCCTTGACTTCAGCCCTAGAATGTGAACTGTGACCCATTTTCCATCATTATCAGTAAGTGTGGTCAGCTCAGGAACTTCAAAGGAATGGCACCACAGACTTTTCTCCATTCTGGCTGGCTGCTAACACCTAGGACTTATCTCGGGTTCACCTCTGTTGTTAGACCAGAAATGCTTTCCCTTTTGCTGAGTAGTTTTCCAGAGAAAGAACAATTCTGACTTCAATTTAGAAGGGAAGGACAGGGAATAAATTCAAAGAGGAGTTATCAAGTGAAGAGGTGAGAACAGAGTTAGTGCCACCTAGCTTCCACGCTCTTGACAGAGAAAAGGTCTGAAGAAGAACCTGAGGTGGTTAGCCTGGAGGGGTGGGACTGGAAGACTCCTACACTAGATAGGAGAAGTAGTGAACTTTTTTATTTATTATTTATTTTTTGGTAGGACTGGGGTTTGAACCCAGGGTTTCACCCTCACAAAGCAGGCACTCCACCTCGAGGCACACCTTCAGTTCATTTTGCTCCGGTTATTTTGGAGATGGGGGGGGGGTTGTCTGGTGAACTACTTGCCAGGGCTGGTCCTGAACCTCGATCCTCCAGATCTCAGCCTCCCAAATAGCTAGGATTACAGACGTCGGCCACTGATGCCAGCTAGGAGAAGAGAACTTTCTAATAGGCAATTTAGAAATGTGTGCTGAAAGTTTTAAAAATGTATGTAACTTGCAGTTCCACTGTTGAGATAATATCCTAGGTTACTAATTATGGAAATGGACAAAGACGGAACTAAGAAGACATTTAAAACAAGCAATATTATAACATGCAGAAGGGCGGGCAACCCACATGCCCAACTACAGGAAGTTGACCTACTAGATTATAGTAAATTTTTTACCTAGAATGTTGCACTGGCATCTTAAAAAAGCACTCGCAAAAGACTGGTTATATATTCAGCAAATATTTGCTAAGTGTGCACTGTGTTCATATTACTATAATCATGGTCCAACTTCTGCCCTCACAAAGCCTACATTTGGGGGAAACAAAATGAAACTTAAGAGACAGCATAGAATGACTCCACTGTGAACAGGTAGGGACGTCTACATATGCACACATACTATTTGATCTTAGCAGCCTGGAAAAATGTATTCACCAGAATTTTTTTTTTTACGTCATTAACGCTAAATGGCAGGAATAAAAGCACTGTTTCTCATAATTTGCAATTTCTAAGTACCATACTATAAGGATACATCATTCATGTATCTTTAAAAACTTTAAAGAAAGAACTCTCACAGGGGACTAGACTGAATTAGAAAACGTGCCTGCTCTTTCTAACCAGAACTGAGAGTTCTGTCTCCTTACCTCATCCTCGGTGTGCTGCTCCGAGGTCAACTTCAGCACAGTCCTGCACTGATCCACAAAGGAGCTTGCAATCAACTCAGCATGGCGCAAAAACACAGGAATGTCATCCTTGGTCAGTTGCTCATCACCCACCATCTTGGCTATCATAAGGTCTAACACTGTAACCCTGCAAAACATAAGGCTGTTTTAATGAACATACAATGCTTAAACACTGCAATGCTAAAATAGGCATGGACATAATTTTAAAGGAGTATTTTTATTTTTTAAACTCTTTATCTTACAATATCTAGCTAGGAAAAACATTTTATGAATAAAGCTAATCTTCATCAATTACCAATTTTTTTTTAAATCTTGATTTCTTGGATATGACTTAGCTATAAAAACTGTCAAATGTACCTCATTTCAAAATTGCTCTCGGTTTAAGTTTTATGACTATATCACAATAATAACAGTGACTTGGCTAACATTCATTCACTACTTTAAACTGAGCTAAGCATGTTACACCCATTACCTTATTTAATTCTCACACAACCTCCAGAAGCAGGCACCATCGTTAGCTTCACATTAAAGACGTGTATGGAAAGGCTTAGTAAGGTTTTAATTTGCCCAGTGTCGCACAGCCACTGAGAGACTAAGCCAAGACTCAAGCTAACTAACTGCTCCCTATAAGAAGTAGAGCTACACTGAATGCTTTCTGTATTGTGGCCAACTGATGTGAGATCTCCTTAGTTTGGAAAATTTACCTATTGACTTTAGCAATTTTCAAAACTCCCAAACCTCTGATTTTTCATAGCAATTACGAATGCGAAGTAAAATAAGCAAATAATCCCTTTGCTTGAATATAATACTAGGGTTTTCATTCATTTCCCCTTCGTTACATGTAATTTTTAAAAACTGAATGAGTTGCTCTCAGGCTATAAAGGCAGACTTCTCACTCTCCCCAAGAAGAATGACTATCTAGGGACACCAGGGAAAGGGCACTCACTCAGTGTGGCCCAAGCATCTGTTCTCAAAACACTCCTTTATCAATGCATTAGATGATCAGGCAGTTATTGATAGGATAAGAAGTCATGGCCGACAGCTTTGGAAACTTAGCGCCTGGTAGGCTATTACTCAAATATACGACATAATAGAAGTAATTTTATACAATTAAATCACAGGTACTAGGGATGCACAGAAATGAGAAACAAGTGACAGATTTTGACTGAAGAAGAGAACCATATGATGGGCAGATTTGGAATGCCAGTTGGGCAAGGGAAGGGGAGAGCAGGCAGAGAAGGCGACAAGGTGTTGATTATCAATATTGTTTGGCAATAACAAGAAGACCCTGGGGTCCAAGTGGATGTGTTAAAGGGAGAGAGGTAAAAGGGCTAAAAGGAAAGGTAAAAGCAGATTTTTGCCTCTTGTACAAACTAACGCAGAGGCAATTCTTGTGGACACCAACTCTGCTTGGTAAACTACCCCTACATGTTTTATTACACAATTCTAAGATGAGCGCTAAGGAGGTAAGTAAGGAGTGATTCTGAGGGAAAAATGGATGATAAATCAGAAACGGATCTTTGAAATACAAAAATGCAAGCTAACTTTGAAGACAGACAATACCTCATTAAACGTTCCTACTTCTATTAAGCCATCCGCCAAATGAACATTGAACGACTCCCGATGCTATGGAACAGGTCTAAGGTGCTACTGTCCACACCCCAGCCACTGTCAGAAACCGTGCTTCTCTTAAAGAAATCACACACAGAACAATCTATCAAGTCATGGGAACTTGTGCGGGAACTTTTTTTCCAAAATCATTTTTACTGTGCACTGCATTTGCTACCCCATCCTCGACACTGGAAAACCTATGAACTGAAATGCACCACACAGTCAGGGAATGTGGAATATGATATGGAGCACCATCTTCCAGTTGGGAAGGAACCACACTAAACAAGGTTGTGTTTTTATCATAAATGTATCATTAGCTGATTTCTTTGGTGTATGATCAAAGAGTGCACTGGCATGTGCCTAGGTGGTATAGGCCAATCACTTACAGCTTCTTGATGCAATCAAGAGATGCATTAAAAATGACACAGAAGGGCAGCTGCCAGGTGACACAGCTTACTGCCTTACAGTCAACCTTTCTTAGTAGTATACTGTAAAATAATGACAGGGCTGGGCATGGTGGTACATTCCTATAATTCCGGCTACTTAGGAGGCAGAGACTGGGAGGAGCACAGTTCAAGGCCAGCCTGGGCAAAAAGTTAGTGAAACCCCATCTCAATCAATAAAAAGGTAGGCATGGTGGCATGTGCCTGTCATCCTAACTATGTGGGAACCATAAATAGGAAGATCAAGGTCCAGATCTACCTGGGCAAAAATGCAAGATCCTATCAGAAAAATAACTAAAGCAAAAAGGACTAGGGGCATGGCTCAAGTGGTAGAGAGCCTGCCTGCAAGCACAAAACCCTGAGTTCAAACCCCAGGACTGCCAAAAAAAAAAAAAATACATAAAATAAACAAATGATAAACAGTATAGTGAATACATCAGCCAGTAAGATAGTTGTTTATTGTCAGGCACTGTGAACTGACTGTGTGTACACAGCTGTATGTGCTAAACAATTTATATGGCAGCCTGGTAGGTTTGTTTACATCAGCATCACCACAGACACGTGAGGAATGTGTTGTGCTGTGACATTAGAATGGCTAAGATGTTCTCACAGCAACAACGTCACCAAGAATTTTTCATTCCCATCATAATCTTATGGGAGTACCATCATAAATGGGATTCACTGCTGACCAAAGTATTGTGTGATGCAGCCTGTGACTATACTTCCTTGAAGAACAGGAGTGGTCTAACGAATGCTACTCCTTACTTTACTCACTTAGGTGGGAAGGATGCAAAATCAGAAAGACCCAGCTGTAAGGTTACTAGAATCACCACACATCAGCGTGAAGGTCTTGCTTCCCTCCCCTAACCCATACCAAAGCTGGCCTCTTCCAGCTCCCCAGACACGCCCTCCCAAGCTCTAATCACTGTTTCTCAGCCACCAGCTGTCACAAGCGTTCTACTTCTGCTGTACTTCTGATTCAATTGTTACATACTTTGCCTCAAAATTATGATCTGTGTTCATTTTATTTAAGAAGCTATGTGCATGTGAAGGATTTTAAGAAAAATTTCTACAGCAAAATTTTGTATTTTACAGTTGTGCTTAAATTGACACAAACTACAGTTTCTGGAACCACATTCACACCAACATGGGAAGGTGTTTTTTATGAAAGGACTGGGATGAGGATAAAGATGGAGGGAAGAGTGAGTTTTATCAGCAGGAAATAAAATGTCCTGTAATTCTAGAAATAAAACATATGAAATTAAAATTCAAGGACTAGCTTCTCCAGCAAATTCTGCATTTACATTTGAACTATTCCACAAAGGCCAAAAATTTTTATTAACCCTGAACAGCAAGCTCACCAAGATCTAGGCAGTAAGCCACTACTGAATTAACCTCATTCCTATCTTGGTAAGTAACAGGCAAGAGTCAGATGCTGCAGGAGTTACACCAACCTTTGCAACGAGGGCAAATGCACTGCCCTACAATGTCTCAGATTCCCAACCTGGAAATGCACAAGACTTATGCTATGCCACAGAGTTCTTCTGAGGACTCACAGACAATGACAGTGTTGTGGTTTGAACAGTAAGTGTGCCCAAAGAAGACTGGTGTATTGAAAGCTTGGTACCACCCAACTGGTGGTGCTATTTTGGGAGATGGAGGAAATTTTAGGAGATGGGGCTTAGCTGGAGGAAGCAGGACTCTGGGGGCAGGATTCTGAAGATGACCCCTGGTCTCTGGTGCATCCTCCTGACCTCACTGAGGTAAGCCTCTTTGCTCACTACATGCTTCCCACTTAGTCAGGTGACCATGGATTAAAACCTCTGAGCCCATGACCCAAAATAAATCTCTCCTCCTTTAAATCTGTCTCAGGTATTTGTTATAACGATGAAAGTCTAACTAATTCAGGTGTATGTTAGCTTCCAAAGACCTGGTAGTACCACCTGAAAGAAAAAGCCAAGATTGCCGCAGGAGGAGGACCTATGATTGTAGCAATAGTACTAATGGTAGCAGAAGCTGACTGAAAGCTTAAACAGCAATTTCCAGCCACATGCAGTGGTGTACACCTGTAATCCCAGCACTTGGGAGGCTGATGCAGAGGATTGTGAGTTGAAGGCCAACCTGAGCAACACAGCCAAATCAACTTGCAAAAGGGCCAAAAAAAGAAAAAGAAATAGCAATCCCTCGTGTGTTTACTGAGTGCTACTAAGAGCTTAATATATTCCAGCTAATTATCACAACAATATCATCAGATGGCTACCATTACTTCCCTTTTCAGGTGAAACAAGGTTCCAGAAAGACAGAGTAACTTATCCAAAATAGTGAGTGGCCCAAACAGCATCTGCCCTTCACCTACTGTGTTTACATGTACATCCTAACCTGAATACTGCACAAGCTGCCTGGCAAGAGCATGTAGTTCACTCTGTTAGTGGTCACCAGGAAGGCAGACTAAAAAGTGCATACATGAATGCTCTCACTCCACAGTAACTGACTATGAGTCTGTATGCAAAATTTTCTCAGCAGCCAGCTACTGTGGCTCACATCTATAATCCCAGTACCTAGGAGGCAAAGGCAGGATGATTCTAAGCTTGAGGGGCTGGCCAGGACTACACAGTAAGACTGGCCCTGTCTCAAAAAAATAGATAAATAAAAAAAATTAAAAAGTTCTTCACCAAATAATCTGCCCCAATTGGCTACCAGCCCCTAGGTGAAGGCATAAGAGCTCCAACAATGAAGAGAGCTAGCACGAGAAGGGAACTTCCACACACAGCACCTCACCATCACTCCCGCCACTCTAGGGAGGCGCTGTGCTTGCTGTTGAGGGCTGTGCAGCCAATGCTTAGTGAATGTGTGTCAGTACTTGTCCACCTGTAAACCTGCTCTAATGCAACAGCTTCCAGGCCAAGCAGATGCTCTGATCGAGTAGGTTGGAGCCACAGTCTGTTTACCTATCTGTGTTCTAAGTTCCTCATGGAAACACTGCCATATCTCACCAGGGTTCTCAAGTGAAGTTCCTCATCTGAGCCCAGAACATGGGAACCAGTCTGCTTGGTTCTTCCAAGGATTCTCGGTGCTCAAGGAGAGAAATCTATTCGGTCTACATTCCTGCTGAGGAACTTAATTCTTTCAGTGCTACTCATCTCCCAAAGAACAACTCTAAACTAGGAATAAACGCAAAAGGAGAACTCTGAGTGCTTCTGACAAGACCCCCAGCCCCTTCTCTCTGGCCCAGGTCTCCACACATCAGCACCCTCAGCTCTTTAACCATTGAGGTCAGTCACCACAAAAAGGTCAGTGCACCCAGGGTACCCCTCAAGCTGAGGACTTGGATACCCAAGCTCCGTGGGCAGGAAGGCCCTCTCCCAATTTAACGACATCAGCAGCTGACGCAGTTCATGATCTGACTTACTGTCTCTCACCAACAGAACAGAAGCTCCTCAGGGACAGGAGGTTTTGTCTGATGTATTCAGCAGGCACTCAATAAGTACTGGAGCTGCGAGTATAGCTCAGTGGTAGAGTGTTTGCCTAGCATACATGAAGCCCTGAGTTCCATCCCCAGCACCACAAAGAAACATAAAGTAAAATAAAATTAAAAAGTAAAATAACAAATTTGCTCAATGAACCAGTAGCTTTCATTACCAAACAAAGCCCCACCTTGACCTGCTTATGCAGTGCTCTCTCCCCTGCTCTCTCATGAGTATCTTATGTTCCAATTAAACTGGAATTTTCAGTGTTCCCCAAAACACATTCAAAGACTCTTTTCCCTATGCTTGTTGTGTCACTCTTTCAACTGGAAAATGTCCTCTTTGCACAAGGCTGGCAAAACCCTGCCAACCCTGCAGATTCATCAAGTGCTAACTCTTTCTACTTGCTTCAAGGACCAGGTGGCCTAGGGATACCGCCCCTCCCTTCTCCTCTCCCACCCCATGCTCTCAAAGCACTATATTTGTTCCTCTCCCAGTCAGGTCTTGGGTTGCCACTTTGCCTGCCTACAAGCTTCTCTAGCACAGCTTCCCTCAAGAGGCTACACAACCCTTGAGGGGAGAGTAGGCACTGGGGTCTCATTTACACTGGTGTATCCTTCAAGAACAGGGACAGTCAGAAATTATTTACTGAAGTGAATCAAATAATAACATTTTGCTTAGTATCCCCTGTGGGGGATGTAAAAAGTGTCTGTAGTCTTTTCACCGCGTAAAGCACCATGTCTTTCTGAACTAAGGCCCATTTTCATGAATCCTAACTAGTGCAATATATTGAAAAATTTTGCTTGTATTATTAGTATTGTTTCCATGTGTATATACATACAAGTTACAGAGCATGCAAAACAAAAGTATAATCTTAAGCCAAAATGTTTCTATTTGCTCTGTTTTGAAGAGAAGCTGCTGCTGGCAATCTGGTTAAGGCCACAGGGTCATAGGAGGTATGAATTAAACCCAATCCCTGTGAAACTGAGGGCTTGGTTGCCATTCATTCTTCACTTGCTCCCTGAACTGTCATGTAGTGACTGACCACAACATCCAAACACCACACCTGACACGACATTAGTAAGAAACACACTGATCAATGAACATTCAGGAGAAATAAACCACCACGTGAAAGGGAGCAAACACCTCTTCTTAAGGTATCCAATTTGTATGTCCTCACCCATCCTGTGTATTATTGAGTAGTATAAAGTTTTGACACCAACACTACAAGTCTTCTAGGGTGGATTCATTGCTCTAATTAACGTTCGTAAATCAGGGCCTCACTTGAGCCACACCTGTAGTCCTTTTTGCTGTTAGTATTTTTCTCAGATACAGTCTTGTGTTTTTTACCGTCAGATCTCAATCCTCCTGTGGTCACCTTGAAGGTAGCTGGGATTACAGAAGTGCCAATACAGCCGGTCAATATAAATGTATTGACTAATAATGTATTCATAGGAAAAAAAATCTAATACTCAATAGTGCAAAATGGAACTGGTCCTGAAAGTGACATATTTTACATTTAGAACATAATCAATTAAATGTTAAATTTCTGACTTACTATATGTTTACATGTAAAGCAAGCATTTCACAAAGGACAAAGTCTTTCTGCAGACTAACACCTGAACATCTCATTAGTCCTAGAAAAACAGTAACTTAATACCTGGTGATGATGGATAGCAGAACCTTCCCCTACCCTCCATCCAGGCCCAGCTATGCCTCCTGGGAGCTCTGACCAGCTGCTGCCCAAAGGCACAAACAGAACGCAGGGACAGAGGAATCCCTCTGCTGCTCTTCAAATACAGGGACTATAAAATTGTTTTTAGCTGACATAGTTACTCCAAAATAAAGATACCATTATCTCCTACATACAAAGTGATACTTCAGATGAGCAGAATTCCTTTCTTGAATACCATTGTGTTGGGCAACCTTGTTGTTCTCAGCATTTAGCCCAACAGAAATTCAGTGAATCCAAGTTAAAAAAAAAATCATGGGAAAGATAAAGCTCCACAGGCACAAGTAATCTAGCAATACTTTCAAAGGTTCTGATCAATAAAAAAGTACACAACGTACTTCCAATATACGTAATTTATAGATAACCTAGTACTGTCACACTAGATATACTAGATACTAAATATTAACAAAGCTTCATTGATTTCTGGGTTTTCTTATATAATATATAAAAGTACATGTTCTAATATTTACTTTATCATACAACACTCTGGAGGATATTACCCTAGTGACAACTATAAAATCATGGCTGGTCACCAAATAAAGAACAGAGAATTCTATTTGGGAAGATTACAGTTCAAGACCAGTCCTCAGTCGCTTGAAAAAGTTCACGAGACCTCATCTCAACCAATGACTAGGCACAGATAGGAGGATCATGGTCCAGGCTGGCCTGGGCATAAAGTAAGACCCTATCCCAAAAATAAACAATTCAGAAAGGGCTGGTGACTCCCACTGGCTCTTCAGACCCATGGGGACAGTGACTACAGTGCAGCAGATAGGTATAAATGCAAGCTTTCAGGTATACCTGCTCCCTCCAGCACTAATACAATGTGGTATTTTCCAACATAAATAAATTAAACTTACGGGACTGGGGAAAAAAAAGGGGCTGGTGAAATGGCTCAAGTGATAGAGCACCTGCCTGGCAAGTTCAATCCTAGTACCAACAACAACAACAACAACAAAAGGAAGCAACTCAAATATGTATCAATGGATGAGTGGATAAACAAAACATGGTGCACTGAGTGTGTGTGTGTCAAAGATGAGAGCAAACTAGGGAAAAATCAGTTCATAAGATACAGAGATGGTACAAGTGACAAGGCATACTGATATTATGAATAAGAAGGTTCAGGAAAAAGAGTTAAGAGTATCTTTGAGGTTCTCAACTTGGTAGACAATATTAGTCTACCAGACAAACCTTTCATTGAGCAGTTAAAAAATTTACTCACTTATGCTTTCAGTGAGAGAAAAAAAAATTTTTTTTTTTTTTTGAGCATCTGCAATGTGCCCAGAAATGCCTGGACAGGTGGACACCAGAGAATAAGAGGGCTCAAATCTTTGCCCTCCTGGTATGTGTAACTCCCTAATGGCAGCATGCTACAAACAAGCAGAACTCAACATGATGTAGGGCTCAACAAATGATAGAAAGGAGCAGTAGCTCTTCTTTGGAAGAAAAGAGAGGGGAGGAAGAGGCTCAAGAGCAAGACCCTGCATGAAGAAGGAAGTACCTGGCACATTTTCTGCATACATGAAAACGGGAAATCTTAAGTATCTCCTCTTCATCCGGTTATATCATGAATCAATTTTTAAATATCATTTAGCAGGAACATAGAAAATATAAATTTGAATACTAAGTTTCAATTAATAAAACTCTCCATCGGTTCAGGTATTCCTTACTGCAAAGCAATTACTAACTTTTCGTGTTTCATGTTACTTATTTTAGGTCAAAAATGACAATTAAATTTTTTCCACAAGAGAGGTATGCATATGGTGGGGATGGAGGAGCAAGAATATTGGATTTATAAACCTGGTACTTAAATTGACTTTATTTTTTTTCTTATATTTATATGTACATACAATGTTTGGGTCATCTCTCCCTCCCTTCCCCCCACCCCCTCCCTCACCCCCCTTTATACTGACTTTAAAATCATCAACTTTTCCTTTTTGTTAAATATAAGAAAAAAACTTAACAAAAACCTACAAAGAAGTGACCAAAGCTTAATTGTTGGAACCTAAATACATAGTAAGAATTCCATAAACACTGCAATTATACAATTTGTGGCTACAATCAAAAGATTATCAAATATTTAAGTTTTTGATGATTAGATCAGTGATTTCTCATTAAGTTTTTTGTTAAGGCAACCTCTCTAATAAGATTAGGAAACACACATGCAATTGAAATGGAAAGTATGCTACAAATCATTTTCTTCATTCCTCTTATTTTATAGATCAAGAAACTGAATCCAAGCACGGTTAAAGACCTGGCTACATCCATGTAAAGAATTACTACCACAACAAGGCACAAAACAAGGTTTCAGCACTTCCTACTACTGTAACTGTAAGAGTATAGACAGATGTCAGTTTTCTTTTTGTCTGAATTATGATTCAGAAGACTACAGAGTAAATTCCAAATAATCACACCAGTGACATAGACTAATAGGCACATCTGAAATATACAACTGTAATTCATAGTTGTATAAACTGCCAGTATAAAATCAAGGCACAAACATAAAATTTTTTTTGCAAACTTTTTTTTTTATATGCTTTTACTCAATGATAGCACCTACCGAATTCTGCAAATCTATGTAAATCACTGCCTGTTGTGGCTAAGCCAAGCAATGCAAAACCAGCACCACACTTGTACTTAAGAGTCCTGTGCCAACTGATAAACCACACTGTTTTTCAGTCCGGACTGCAGATTACTCCATACGTAATGCTAAAGACTCAAAACCACACTGGGTTTTGGGGTTACCTTTCTTGATTGCTCAGTTTGGCATACATGGCTTGCACCAATTCCGGGCTTTTCAGAAAGTGGTCTGTAATAATCAAGAACCTAAGGGGAAAAGGGTGGGGGAGAATTTGGTTATTACAAACAGTAATTCAGATACATCCTTATCTACTGTGTATCTATCTTATACATAAAAGCATTTCACTTTATTAAACTTTTTATTTTGCTATATCTTAAATGTTTTCCTATTAACTCAAAGGGAAAAAAATCCTTAAAATATTTCTCTCCAGTTTTACAGCTGAAAATTTTATTGAAATAATTCACATTGATGAAAGTGGGAAAAAGATGGGGGGGGTGTTATAGCTTTACCAATGTTGAGAAAGGAAATTTCTTCCCTGTGAACAGTAATATGAATAGACAGAAAACAACTGCACTGTTTTAGTCAAAAGCTTAGTGCTGTAAGATGAGGCAGAGAAACAGACGTGATACTTTTACTTAAAGATATGCCAACAATGCAGTGATGAATCCTGGCTTGATTTTCCCTATTTAAGAGTTCTCAAGTTACCAAGAAAACATCCTCATTGTCAAGCAATGTGCTCATGTGAAGTTAAGAGATCAACTATGGAAGCCCAAAGGCAAAGATTATAAGGCATATTTCTTCAAAGTATTGCTGTGACATCTGAAGACACGGAATAGTAGTATTAATACTATATTGACCAGAGGGCATCTGAATTAAAGATTCAAGAACTAAGGAACACAATGTTTATGACCAAGTTATAGCAGTAAGAGTTGACTCTAACATATCAACTGCATCGCCACAGTCTATTTAATCACTTGTTAACAAGCAAAAGCAGCATCTTTCAGTGTGAGAACCAAGTGAAGCACATCAGCTGCCACCCCATGCTGTCCTTCATGCCAAACCAAAATCTGGGCTATGGATATACATCAGTGGCACACTGCTTGTACAGCTTGCACAACACCCTGGGTCCCCAACACTGCCCTGCTCACTGCAAAAAAAAAAGGCAAAATCTAAACAGGTATGCTACTTTTCTACAAACTTTAAAATGGCTGGTCAACACTTGGATGTAAAATATTTCTAAAAATAATATGTAATATTAAAGTATTTCAAATGGTATTCATGCCAATTTAGGTAGGTCATCAAGCTGTAACAATTTGAATTCATGCATTCCAAGCTGGGCTCACAAATAAAACTGGGATGCTAAAGCTCATTCACAGAATTCAGCTACTTAGAAATCAAAGTATTTTCCCAGAAGTATATTCATTCAAAAACACAACGGTCAAGCTGTATGTGGTGGCACATACCAGTGATCTTAGCATCCTGAGGCACAGGGTTTCTAGTTCAAGGCCAACCTGAACTACATCATGAGACCCTGTCCCAAAAATTAAAAAAAAAGAAAATCCAAAAACCTCACAATATTTGAAGTACTATGGCAGGGTCTAGAACACAAGTCTGACTTCCAAAAATATTCTCTGAACAGTGGAGAAAGACCCACATACAGACAAATCATTACAGAAGAATGTGTTAAGTGCAAATGTAGGTACACATCATGGATTACAGAAACAGCACAATATATCTAGCCAGTGAGCTGGGGGAAGAGGGCCAAAGGACAGGACTGGGACAGGAGATTAGAGAGGTTACAAGGGGAATTCTGTGAGACCCTGGGAGAAAAGAGAAGGAAGAGCATAACATTAGAGGGAAACAAAAACTTAGAAAACAGCTGCATGAGGGAAAAGATAAACAGTGTTTTCTCAGGGAACCCTAAGCCACCAGACCCACTGCTTATATCCAATGACTTTTCAGCTATGTGACCCAATAAATTCCATTTTGTGCTCATGCTATCTCAACTGTTCTTCAATTACTTAGATCCAGAAGAATATAACTACATAATACTTAGCACATGCCAGATGCTATCTTACTAAGGATCCAAAAACAAACAACATTAATCTTGCCATCAGGAAGCTCACAACCTAATGAACAATTAAGCACATTCAGTTCTGTGACACAGGGAGGCCCACATGCTGCTGGATAACAGAAGGGCAACAGATTCACAGTACAAGAGGAAGGACAATTATGCTCATCTACCTCATTTCCTAACATTTAAGCTGACAATAACATGTACATGCATGAGGCAGAAAATATCCCTAGAGCAACAGGATATTAGTCTGGAAATGAAACTTTCTCATGCAAGTAAGTCAACTAGTTAACCCAAATATGAACAGAAAATAATGCTTTATTCACAGTTATAATTTCATTTTCATAGAGAAATTGGTACAATCTCAAAAGAATGAGCAAAGTTTATTTTGTAAGGCTAAAACTAACAATTCGCGGCTCTCTTTTAGATGCAAACCTACTCCCTGAAAATCAGCAATTTCATAATACGCGTCACAGTAAAAAGGGACACTCCTTCAAGTTTGGTATATTTTTCAATCCTCTCTGCTATCTACTAGTTGTGTGACTTTAGCCAAGCTGACTCTCATTTGTACAGTGTGGCACACAATACACTCAAGGATGACAAATGTGAAAGCAAGACCCCACCAAACCACAGGATCAGCAAGAGGTGGCCCTACCTTCTCTACTGTGTAATTCTATACTGACTCACGTCAATTCTAATGCATATTTACTGTCGGATTTAGATGAATTAAAAATAGGAACTTTGGATTCATCTAGGGTTATCTAAAAGTATGAAAACATCTTCCACACCTACAAAGAAGCAAACACTTTCAGAAAGACATTATGCCAATAATTCAAACCAAATGTAGTACCAATGACTTCCTCGCCTACACCCTCCTGTGACTCTAGTATATCCAAACAAAAAAACCCAGAGTTACTGAAATCTCAAGTTTGTCCCTTTCTAAAAAAAAAAAAAAAAGAAGAAATAAAAAGACAATAAACCAGTAAGTTCTGAGATTGGGTAGTTTGGTGCTGTTTGTCAGATCTCTTATGATGGAAGGGCAAAGGGGGGGGCCCTCTTCTCTGATTTTCAGGTATGAGTCAGATACACAGTTAAAACTAACAATTTTTTGGAGGCCTCTGATAGTCTGTGATCTCACTGTCTGTTTACCAAAGGCTGCAGCTGGACTGCAGGAGGTATCAGCTGACTATGACTACACATTCCTCCTTTTTTCTGCCTAGTGATCTTTGGTAACTTTTAACTTAAGCTAATCTAAAGTACATTTCATATTTTGCTCATTATGACCTTGGTCCTTATTCCAAACAGTTGAAATATGGATTCCAGGTACTTATCAAATAAAACAGAATTTACAGAAAATTTCTCTGAGCAAGCTGACTATAATGACTCATCCTGTCACGTTACACCTCTATATTGAGGGATATTTTCTAAGTCAAATACATCATAATATTTTCATGTAGCAACTTCTGTTTGTTTGTATATAGTAATTCAAATACAAATGAATGTTCAGAAAAATAAGTAACTTTAAATTTAGGTATAATTTCAACAGAATAATGAGTTCACTGAAAGAGGCCCAAATTGAAAAAGTTTAAACCTCATTTATGAACACAAGCAGAATTAAAGGCAGCTCAAGAATTAACACCTGGAAGCAACCTCTACCTAAATACCCTGACTACTGTGAGGAACACAGCCTCAAAAACAGACTTCAAATAAACAGAAGGCTACTAAAACAGAAACAATAAATACAAAGGTAAATTCCTACATACATAAAACAAAACAGAAATTCTGAAGAATTTTATAATGAGAAAGGGTCAATAGAGACCTAAGTGTTTATAACACACATGTGTAACACAGATATATATGTAGAAGGAAAGGATAAAGTGTACAGGGTTGAAAAGGTATTCAAACGAATAATGGCTGAAACTTTCCAAATTTCATGAAAAACATAAACCTACAGATTCAAGAGACTGAGAGAACCCCAAAAGGAATACACATAAAGAACTCTATGCCAAAACATCATCGACTTCTGAAAAGACAAAGAAAAATCTTAAAAGCAACTAGAGAGAAATCACACATTCTTGTGGGGAGGGTGAGACATCCAGAGACAACTTTACATGAATGGCAGAGTGTCACATTTACACACCACTCCCAAGGATTGATACCAACTTCTAATCTTTAATGAACCACCTACTGCAGCCACCGTGGTTCCGAAGGTAAGGAGCTATTTTCTCATGCTGAGAACATCCTTCCCCCAGTCACTGTATTAAAGAACATCCTATCCTTCAGGCACAACCCAAACTTCAACTCTTTCACAAATTCTGCAGGTCCTGCTCAAAATTTTTTTCTCATTTTGTCAACCAAATGTTAAGTTTTAACTTATGGTAAAATTATCATAATTTGAATTTTTACTTAAAATCTCTACAAGGGGACTGGTTGGGGGTGTAGCTCAGTGGTAGAATACTTGCCTAGAATGCACAAAGCCCTAGGTTCAATCCCAGCACTATAAATAAGTAAAAGACCAGTTGTAATAAGCTGGGTGCAATGGTTCACATCTATAAGCCCAGCTATTGGAGAGCCAAAGTAAGAAAACAGGGGCTCAAGGCCAGCCTGGGCAACAGGCAAGCCCCTGTATCAAAGATCAAAGTAATAGTAATAATAACACCAGGAGGAAAGTAATTTGTTAGAATGTCCTTAAGTAACCACATTTCTAACAGGACACTTACGGCCATTCTGACTCTGGCTGCTTTTGGTGAGCTTCTATGACATTGATTGCAATATTGAGGTTCTCTTCCAGTTCTTTCATTCTTTCAGGATTGAGAGATGTGAACAAAATCATTGAACAGTAGGCAACAATTTTTTTGTCTGGATGATTTAAGCAAGACCTTTCAAACAAAGAGATGAGATTTTTAGTCTAATTTTCCAACATGATAAAATACAATTATAACACAAAATAGTAATTCCATTAGCAAATTCAGTACACAGTGATGTATTTGATAAAGATTTAATAAATTATTTGATTAAGATTCATAATGCTTTGAAACAAGAGTATTATTTGCCATAAAAATAAAAATAGCAATATATTAAATCACAAGAAAAAGTTGCAGCTGACTCAGAACTCAGAAGCAAAACAAATTAACATGATAAGAGAAAAAGGTGAAAGTGATCACATTCACAAAACATTAAGATGCGCATTCTTCTTTCCTCTCTGCTTAATAAACCTTTGCTCTTTTGCTAAAAAAGAAACAAAAACAAAAAAACTCATTCTTGTTGGAAACAAAGACCATTTAAGACTACAGTCATTTTTTAACAGTCAGGCAGAACAGTATCTAGTGAATAGGTGGTACAGTGGCAGGAAAAAGGAAGCTGAAGTCAACAGCCTCAGTACAATTCCTAGCTCATCTTCCCATCCACCTGCCTACTTACCAAATGCCAATCACATCATGGCTCAAGACTATGGCAGAAGTTTGGCTGGGTTTTTTCCATTTAAACTTTGTAAGCCAGGCATGGTGGTACATGCCTGTAATCCCAGCAGCTCAGGAGGCTGAGGCACAGTGGTGAGAGTTCCAGACCAGCCTAGAGGTACACAGCAAGCCCCTGTCTCTAGAAGAAACTTCCTAACACTCTACTAAGGAAGGTATTATCCACAGGTTACAGATGGGGAATCAGCCTCACTTGCCCAATGGCACAAACCTGCGGAAACTGGAATTCAATGCTGACTGGACTTGTCTCATATATGCATAGTGAAATCACATAACCTTTCTGGTATGTTTTCTGATATAAAAAAATGAAAGCTCTTTTCTAACTATCTCACAAAGCATCTGTGAGGACCAAATGAGGTAATATAAAAGTACCAAGTAAACTATTGAGACTGATATCTTTTCAAGGGCCTCCTCTTTGTTTTTCCATCACAGCCTGGATTTATCCTAATATATCAGTTCTTACACTACAATATACTTGTGTTCCTTTATTTCTCCCATGTAAGTATGTAATCCTTAAGAGTACAAATATATCCAAGTTACCAACGTATTCTGGTCACCCAACTCAAGACTCACCAAATACTATGTGCTCCAAATGTGTTTTTTTTTTTTAATAAATTCTTGCCAAGCATGGTGGTACACACTTATAATCCCAGCTACTCAGGAGGCAGGGGCGGGAAGATCAGTAATTTGAGGCCAGTCCAGGCAAAGTTAGTGAAACCCTATCTCAGAAACAAACATTTTAAAAAATAAATAAAAAGGACAGAGGTATGGCTCAAGTGGTAGAGCACTTGCCTAAGGAGTGTAAGGCCCCGGGTTCAATCACCAGTATGGAAAAAAAACAAAACTTCTCAAAAGTAATGTGTATTTCTATAGCTTGAGTTTCATGATCCTTTTCTGCCACCTACACACCTAAGCTAATTATTAGCCATAAGGGACACACACACACATATCTTGCAAGTATTTGAGAGATGTACTTAGTAAGCTAGAAGTGAATTAGAGTTTATCTGATCCTAACACCATACTTTACAGCTAAGCACAGAAAACCTTCACAACCAGGCAAGACAGCCCAGAAAAAACTTCAGCAACACGCTTAGGACTGCAGGCTCTGGATCTAGACAGCAGCACTGGGTTCTCAATCCCACTGTGCCATTTACCAGCAACAAACTACTGCAGGTAGGTATGTACCACTTACCTACAGCGCTGCTGTAAGAACAGGAATAAAACACACACAACACCCAGCTCAGGCACTTACAAATGTTGTTGCTATCCTACTGTTCACACTGGTGCAGCCAGCACTCGCCCTACTCAAGGGCACCAGAGTCTCAACTAGTTTAAAACATTAGTACATCACCAGGAAAAGATTCAGGATCCACTCTAGACAGACACACTAGTAATCTACTTCTTGCAGCAATAATCAATTAGACTGGTTATGCACATCTTAAATTAATAAATGGACTGGTCATTCTTTTCTTACACTGACAAATGGCCTGGATTATCTATTTCTCACAGTGATAAGCAAACGGATTACCTATTTCTTATACAGAAAAAGAAAAAAGCAGGGTAATTACCCACTTTTCACACTATCCACATCTTACATTCAGAAACAGACTGGTTATCCATACTTTACATTAAAACTTATCAACTATCCATATCTCCTCTCACAATTCTCCTCTATCAAAACATACAGCATTATGCTGTGCACACAAGTGCACAATAAGTAAACAAAGGATTACTTCATTGCCCATACATTGATAGTTCATATTTAATTTTTTTTCTTGTAAATCTCAGTGCCCTTAACAATGTTACTTATTTACCCATGACTTTTACTTTCTTTTTCTTGGTTCTTTTTGTTTGTTTGGGTTTTTTTTTTTGGTGGCACTGAGGTTTTGAACTCAGGGCCTCGCACTTGCTAGGCAAGTACTCTACTTCCTGAGCCACTCCACCAGCCCGTGTTTTCTTAAAAGTAAAGACACATACAGTCAAGGGTTTGCATCTTGTATATTGCTTAATGAATGTTCAGATACACACACGTCATGGAACCACTACCCAGATCAAGACACAGCGCCCTGTAGGACCCAGCAGTCTCCCTCCCACCCTCTCTCAGCTGGTACCTACCTGTTATCAAGATGAAGGACATCTGTTGTCCTGAATTCTATTGCTCGATAGGTTAGCTTTTCATGTTCCTTAGCGTCATGTAAATGAAATTATAGCCATAATCTTTTCAGGATTCAGAAAAATTCTTATCGATATACTTACATGAAGAGTTCTGGGAAAGCATGCACCCAGACAATGGATTGGGAATCTTCATTACGTGAAGCAACATTGCCTAAAAACTGCAGGCCACAGCGAAAAGCTAGGAATACATAAAAGTACAAAACAAAGATATGTGATTAAACACAATGAATGAATAAATCTGAGTAAGAAATATCTCCCATGTTATTAAATAGAAGTTTCTGCTCCTTTCTTTTAAAATATAAAGATCTCTCTCCACAATGAACCAATTCTTTCTACAACTTCTTAAAAAAAGGTTGCAAACGTGAATACGAATATACTTTTAATTAAATATTATTAAAATACGTATTCCAACTAAAAGACAGCTACAAGACAAACATGATGGCACATACCTGCAATCCTGGCACTCAGAAGGCTAAAGCAGGAGGATCACAAGTTTAAGGATAGCCAGGGCTACACAGCTAGACACTGTCTCAAAACTTAAAAAAAAAAGACTTCTACACTTAAGACTGGATTTTTAAAATTCTAATTGTATGCTATTTAAAACAGGTATGTATCTACTACTTGGGATAGGGAGACAAGAGGGTCACAAGTTCAAGGCCAGCTCAAGCAAAGTGAGACCCTATCTCAAAGTACACACACACCAAAATAAATAAATAAATAAAAGGACTGGGGGTGTCACTCAAGAGGTAAAACAACTGCCTAGCATGCATGAGGCACTGGGTTCAACCCCCAGTACATTGAGAGGAAAAAAGACATTTAAAACATAAGGTTACACATGTACCAGGGAAGTATCAGCCCCAAAAAAAGTCAAATAAAACTTAATGCGAAAGGCATTACTGGAAATTGTTCTAAATAGTCATTACAGAATAATTTAATTTATCAGAAAAATACAACAATTTTAAACTGGAACCTAGCCTCAAATATAAAGAAAACCTAACTAAAAAAGAAAACAGATGATAATTAAATTGAGCACTTAAAAGATACCTTTCTCAGCAATTGCTACAACAAACAGACAAAAATATCCATATATTTAAAAGCTCTGAATACAATTTAATAATATCCTAGCTGCTATTTAAATTGTTCACCAAATAAAACTGCAAAATACTGACCAAAATTTCAGAACAGTGACAACAACAAATGCTGACAAGGATGTGGAGAAACAGGATCTCTCCCTTCACTGACAGTGGGAATCCAACATGGCCCAGCCTCTTCGAAAGAATGGAAATTCTTACAAGGCTAAACATGTTCTTATCTATGGTTCAGCAATACAATTCCTCCCACAGGAGCTGAGGTTCATGTCCACTCGAAAACCTGCACACCATGTTTACAGCAGCTTTACTCATAACTGTCAAAACTTGGAAGCACATTTGTCCTTTCCTTTATCCATTCATTTGTCCTTTAAATGAATGGATACAGAATCTGTGGTATATCCAAACAATAAAATATTATTCAGCACTAAAAAGAAATGAGCTATCAAGCCAAGAAAAAGACATGTAAGAAACTTAAATTACTAAGAGACTTAAATTACTATTACTAAATTAAAGAAGCAAATCTGAAAGTTCTATACTGTATGACTCCAACCATAGGACATGCTGGAAAAGTCAAAGTGGTGAGGCAGGAAAAAAAAAATTAGGGGTTGCCAAGGGTTGGAGGGGAGGAAAGGATGAATAGGCAGAGCACAAAGGATTTTCAGGCCAGTGAAACTGTTCTGTATGATACTATAACAATGGGTACATGTCATTACTCATTTGTCCAAACTCACAGAATATATGCCACCAACAGTGAACCCTATTATATGAACTATGGAGTTTGGGTGGTAACAATGTATCAATGTAGGTTCATCAGTTATAACAAATGTGCCACTCTGGCAGAGGATGCTGATAGTGAGGGAGGCTGCGCACATGGGAAGGAAGGTGACATGTATGAAATCTCTATACCTTCCTCTCAATATTGTTGTAAACCTAGAATTGCTATTACATACTCTATTATAAGACTTATTATAAGACTGTAAAATAAAATTGTTTAGTGAAGTTCCTCCAAAAACCTCAGTTTGATTCCCGACTTAGTGTGCATCTGGACAAGTACACTGACCTTTGTGGGATCCAGTATCCTTATCATATGATGGGGATGCTATGTGGGGTTGACTATGGAGTTTTGTTGGGATGAATGTGAACTCAGTAACTGTAGAACAAAAGTAGGGAACGGACCCTCGTTACAGCTCACAGTTAATTTAATAAACGTTAGTTTAAAACGTCAGAGTAAACCACTGGGTTTAGTGTTTACCTCGCACACACAAGGCTCTGGGTTCGATAACCTAGAACCGCAAAAAAAAAAAGCCAAACTTCCAACTGTGAAATGAAAACTTACGTTTGCTCCTGTGCTCAGAGGCTCTAAATAGAAACTTTGAGTGCTCACTGTGTTGGCCCTTCTCCAAACTTACTTGGGAGACAGGTACTTTTATCCTCTCATCAGCAGATAGAAAACCAAGGTCCAGGGAGGTGACTTGACCAAAGTCCCATGACTATCAAAGCACCTTCTTTCAGGGCTTTATCCCTGACTACATCAACCCACATGGTAAGAATGCTATCTTATGTCTATCAGAATCTCTAACTGGTAGTTACGTATGAATTTCATCAACAAAAACAGAAAATTGAGCAACAAAAAAACCTAGGGAATATGCAGTCTTCTCAAGGGCTTACAGCAAACTGCAAAACATTTCCCAACATAACAAAGCCTAAAACAATGCTCAACAAAATTATTTTGGCAGTACTGGTGTTTGAACTCAGAACCTTGTACTTGCTAGGAAGGCACACTACCACTTGGACCAGGCCCCCCAGCAATGCTCAAAAAATTTTAAAGGACTGATGCACCACAAATGATACACCAAAAATTTATGTGAGGCATAAATACCAAAAATTATCATAAAGCCCTACATGTTTAAAATGTTAAGAGATACACTTCCAAATAATCTGTACAGGCAAAAAAAAAAAAAAATGGAAAATATTGTGAAATAAATGTTAACAAGATTAAAAACTCATACTTAGAATATAGTTAAAACAGTACATAGTGGAAAATTTATAATTTTTAAATGCATACAATGGAAAAGAAGAATGACAAAAATAAATAAGCATGCATTTCAAGAAAAGAAAGTTAAAATAATCCAAGAAAATGAAGGAAAGAAATAAAATAAATTATTAAAATTGAAAATGATCATAAAATATAGAGCATCAAGGAAGCCAAATTTTGATTCTTCAATAAGCCCAAAACTGACCAGCCTCTGGGGAGACTGATAGGAAAGAAAAAGCAAATTATAAAGAAGTTATATGTCAAAAATGAAAAAGAAGATATGGTTGCACATCTTACAGACATGAAAAAAAATTAGAAGATACTATAAATAACATTATGCCAAAACTATATGGAAAATTCTGGAATATAACAAAAACTGATTTTTAAAATTTTTTGAAAAATATTCGGGAAGACTGAAAACTCTCAAACACACTAGGGCAATTGAGTCAATAGCCAAATCCTTTCACACAAAGAAAATTCTAACCCAGAGAGTCTCACTGGCAATTTCTACTTAAGGAAGAAGTAATTTCAAGTTAACACAGAGAACAGATTCCCAAACCAAACTTATGAGGCTAGCATAACTACAACATAAAATCAGAACAAGGACAGTGTGAGGGAGAAAACAGCAGAACTCATGTAAAAACACTAAATATGCTAAGAAAATGACCACAGTAAGTTAAACGCATACCTGCATTGAAAAACTGCATTTACATTAGAAAATCAAAATTTATGACTCAACAGCATTAACCTACAAAGCATAAAAGTCTTATGATCTAAAATACTAAAGAAAACATATTTGGTAAACTCAACATCCATTCATAATTAAAAATAGAAAAAAATAAACTAACAAATATTAAAAAGGGGTCTTCTCTTTATTATTTTGTTACATTTTAGTGGGTTTCCCCATGACATTTTTATATACGTATAAATTGTATTTTGATCATATTCACACCACTCCCCACCCCCTATATCTCACCCCAGTCTCACCTTCTTTTATCCCCCTCCCCCTTCCCACTGGTCCCTTTCCTCTTCCTAAACAGTGGCCAGAGGGGCAGGCTTCCTTTAACCTAAAAAGGAGTATCAACAAAAAAAATCTAAAGCACATATAATTAATGGACAACTTCTGTGACAAAGAACATTCCTTCTGAAAGGGAGACCTGCTATCAACCATTTCTAATCAACACTGTACTGAAAACCACAGCTAACAAGACAAATAAAAGACCTAAGAACTCAAAAGGAACAAATGAAACTATCATTTTCCCCCACAGATAAATAATGTATGTATAAAATATTTTAAATGTATGTAAGTTCTTGCATTTATAAGAGAGCTTACAAAAGTTGCTAGACAAAACTAAATATAAAAAAATCATTAACACATCTGTGTACAAGGAACAAATTTTAAAAAACACTAATATACCACTTACAAAAGCATAAAAAATGTAACTGAAAGTGGCCAGGCACAGAAGCTCAATTCTATATTCCTAGCTACTTGGGAAGCAGAGATCAAGAGGATTGTAGCCGGAGGCAAGCCTTGGCAAAAAGTTCAGGGAGACCTCATCTCAACCAATGGCTGGGCAGTGGCAGGGGGCACAAAAGGGAGGATCAATCACAGTCCAGGCCCAGCCAGGGCATAAAGTGAGACCGTATATGAAAAAACATCTAAAGCAAAAGGAGCTGACAGAGTAGCTCAAGTGGTAGAACACCTGCCTAGCAAGCATGAGGCCCTAAGTTCAACCCCCCAGAAAAAAAGCAGATATTCAGGCAGTTCATGCAAGGAGAGCAGGGCAGAATAGGATAATGCTTAAAGCACTTCTGAATCCCTGAGAGCCCCCTACTCTAGAGCCCCCTGCTCTAGCCGGTTCCATGAGATCCAGGATTTAACGAAAAGGCCAATGCCCTCAGGGCCTTGCTACAGCACTATGACTAGTGTCTAAACTGAGCTGACAAACTGAGCCCCACTGTCCGCTCCTTTAAAAGTAGTTCACATCAGGACCATGGAGAGAAGGACCCTGCTGAGGAACTGAACCCAAGATCAACAAATCAACAAATCAA